ATGCATCGTTAATGCTAACTTCCGTCGTTGTTCGAGAAACGCACCCCAGATTGTGAAATACTCAGACTGGCCCGTCTGGCACCAACAACCATGCCACGCTCAAAATTGCTTAAATCACCTTTCTTTCCCATTCTGACATTCAGTTTGGAGTTCAGGAGATTGTCTTGACCAGCACCACACCCCTAAATGCATTGAAGCAACTTGCCATGTGATTGGTTGATTAGATAATTGCATTAATGAGAAATTGAACAGGTGTTCCTAATAATCCTCTAGGTGAGTGTATATACTCAGTGACAAAAAAAGTTAAGCACCCAGACGGAGTGGTGGAAATGAAATTAATCTGCAGGTGGTGAATGGTCATGTCACTGTATTGCAACGATTATAGTATCAGATCAAACGGACAACAAAGTTGGCAGTATGGGCACACTGCTGGTCCCATGTTAGTAGGGTGTGGCACCCGCCCCGGGCCTCGATACATGTGGCGATACAGTGTGGAAGAGAATTGTACAACCGTTGTATTCTCTCCTGCGTTAAGTTGGCCCACAGCTGTTGTAACTGGCCCTCAAGATCCTGCAGATTAGCACTGGGTCTGAACTGACGTCCGAGCTGATCCCACACATGTTCAATTGGGGAAAGATTAGGGGACCTGGCACAAGCAGTCCATAGACCAACATAATGTGTGTAGATGGGCGCTGTCTTGTTGAAAGACTGTACCAGGGTGCTGTCTCAGGAAGGGTAAGACATGCGGGCGCAGGATGTCATTGACATAGCGCTGTGCCTTCAGGATCCCCCGTATTACTCCCAGACACGACCTGAAGTCATACCCTATGGCTCCCCACACCATGACGCCAGGAGTAACACTGGTGTGTTATTCTGCAGAAAATTGGAATGATTGGTCCTCTCCCCTGGGTGCCTCCATATGCACACACAAGAGTTATCCATGGCAATGCAGAACCGAGATTCATCACTAAACACGGTACGATGCCACTCATCGTTAGTCCATGCATCCCGCTTATGGCCCACTCCAAACACAGCCATCTCTGCGCTGTTATTAACGGCAGCCTACACATGGGAAGGTGAACCCGTAGTTCGGCTGATGCCAGTCATCAAGTCACGGTGCAGGATGACACGGGATGCTGTATAGAGTCCAATACCTGTGTCCGTGGCAGATGTTACGGGGTTCTGTAATGCTTGCCGCACAATACGATGATCCTCCCTTGGTGTGGTCTTTCTTGGGCGACCGGAACCTTCACTACATGTGTGGGTGCCCTCACGTGCCCACTGGTTCCAACATCGGGTGACTGTATGCCCCACATGCTGGGCAACTGCACAATACGACCAACAGGACTCATGGAAACCCACAATGGGACCCATATCAAACTTCATCAAGTGATGTCTAATGCGTCTACGAGGCATCCTCTGTGTCTGGTGACTAGACATGCCAGCTCCTTCCAAATCGAATCATTTAATACCCATCGCTGGTCTGCACGTGTACCAAATTACATCCAAATCGGAACATTACTTCTGGGTGCTTAACTCTTTTTGCCACTGAGTGTGTAATTTACAACACAGGATAAGCAATGCCTACTTATAAACGGTGTCTTCTATTGTAAAATAAAACTCGGAATAACATTCGGAATATCCCGCGCTTTATCAGATCGCGTCTGCAATTTGTACTGGTGGAAAAACAGAAAAAGCGTGTTGCATGTTGATATTGCCTGATGTCGTGCTTCTCCAGCTCCAGGACCTATGCTCTATGAACAGCTGAATAACAAACTCATATCACAAACTCGAGTCCCCATCTCTGCTCTACGGCTAACATTACTTTATATTTAGCTAGCTAGTTAGCTACCCCAGAGTGGCATAGGAAAAATAAAAAGGGATGATATCTTCAGATTATAAACCTCCATGTCAGCATGATATAGGACTCACCTGGTATGAGGCACGACATGTGCAGGTGCCATGAAGCTCAAACAGGTGGATCCTGAGCTACTTCCATCACCTGCATGACTGGCATTCAGCTCCCGCTCAGTGAGGAAATGTATTGTCAGGTTGAGTACTGTTTTCCCTGCTGGACCTTTGAATAAAATTGAGATACACATAATAGCCTGATCATTTAAATAAATATACTAAAACCCTCTCTACCATACAATTAGAGCATTGTGTATCAGGATAAAATATTTTGTTGCCTAAATAGAGGACCTAAGATTAAAACTAAAGGCCTATAATACTGAAGAAGATGTACAAGCTTATAAAACAGAGGTTTTGGAGGATGAGCTTTTGAGACAACACTCACCTTTCAAGCCCAGCAAATTTCCCCTGAGTGTCATTTTAAAGCTGGCAGGATGTTGGTTAGGAGTGCTTCCACTCAAGACCAGGGGTACTAGCAGGGACCAATGGCTGTAATTAGCTGAGACTTCACCTGCAGCCTCATGCCCCAGCAACAGAGATTTGCTTATATGCTGTGCATCTGCAGAAGCAGCCTTGCCCTCTGTGTCAGTATCCAGTGCACATAACTTCAAGGCTGCTAAAGAGCTTAAAATCTGGTTCCAGTCCTGGAAGATTTTGGGGAGCAAAGTGATGAACATAATTGAACTGATTCAACTAATATTCATTTTTGACAATGCATTTATATCATAATGCTATGTAATATTTACAGAGTTTTCCATGGTAAACTTTACAGGTTTGGATGATATTCACAAACCACAAAGGATCAAGAGAATAAAGCAGCTAAAAACAATACTTTAAGTCTCATCTTACATTGCTCGCGCACGTGTATGTGTAAAAATAAATAAACAGAGCTCACCTGAGTCACGTCTGGGTCCCTAACGTCGTGTTTATTAGTATAGGCTCCGAAGCCTATGAAAGCTGCGGCCATTAACACCATACACAGGAAAAATACGACAAGTGGTGGATTATTCATCAGGTTAGTTCGTATGTTTTCAAACGGATGCCACTTTCCCATGGCCGTTCTACGGTCGCAGGCCTGTAAAATACAATTAAATGTTACATTTCTACGTGCATGTGTACTACTGTACGCTAATCGATGCAGAAAACATGTAGCTAATACATACGCATGCACGCAAACTTGTAAATGGGTTGGGGAGTCACTGGCTTTAGAATTCAGTTAAAACATATACACTATCTAAGCCAAAGTTTTCTTATTACGTCTGTAGTATGATTTGCGTCATTCAACCCCCTTTGATTACTGTGACTGCAAGTCAACAAGCTATATAGTTAGCTTAATTGCTAGGTTAAATATGTTGGAAAACTTACCAGCGAAAATTCCTGAGCGAAATACTTATATAAAACATAAAATAACTTCAAACAAAGTTGAAGCGGAATAAATTACGGAATGGCAAGTAATTAGACCGGGATACAGCTATATAACGTCAACTTCTACACTTAGTCCCGATTGCTGGCTAGCACTGGTTAGCGATCTGCCTTGACGCTGACATCCCCCATATCTGACATTCGCCTTGCAGACATTTCGGGCTAGAGATATTTTAAAATTCACTTTTATTTTTTATTTTTAATAGCTAATTTTGAAAACGGAATTAATCAACCGTTTCAACTAGCTATACCGACAACTCAAGCAATTTCCCGACTACTACACGGTATAGCACTGTGGGAAATGGTGTCGTCACTCGCCTAATAACGGCGAGCTGGAACTTTACAAACGCGTCAGCGGACGTACATAAGACGCATCTCGGCATTAACTTTGGACAGACAAGGAAGGAGTTGTTTCGGAACGCAGAGTATGGGAACAAATAATATTGGCGAAAAACAAATTTAACCTGTTTGATTTTATGGTACACCCCACCATATACGTTTTTATCCATGACGTACCCGCTAATCTTGTTCAGGAGCCCGTCCCAGGCAGAATAGTACAAATACATTTTAATTAATTAACAGTTCAACTTAATATACAGTACATTCTCTCTTAATGGACATAATACCCGTATGTATCGCTTGCTGTTACTTGAATATCTCCTAATAGGTTCTATAGTGTTTTGTGTGTCTCGTGTTCTTGTAATCTTACGCTTCCTTCTGATCAGATCTGAAGCTTAGCCTAGTAGCAGACGTGCATACGTTGACTCCATAACAGCTGTATGCTTATAATGTATTATCTACCTCACTTGTACGTCACTTAAATCTACATCTACTAAACAATAACATGGAAATGTATTATTTTTATCCTATAAGGGTGTCTTTTATGTACTTATTTATGCTGATTTAAGAAATGTGTTCAGAATTTTGCTATCACCCATAGTTTTTGAATGTCGTAATTATTTGTCGATAGTACATAATTCTTTATGAAGAATGTATGCGTATATTTTACAAGTTGTAACGTATTTGTACATGCTATTACATGTCCAGCTCTCTCACTGATATAGAAAATGACATGAAAGTACCAGTATGCTTGCTGACTTCTGCTGGACCCTTAAGAGGGATGTTCCTGAGGCCAAGTACAGTAGAAAATCATACACTTCCACAATACACATATACTGTAAATATGCATATAGCTCATAATTTCACTTAAAATCTGTGTGTAATAGTTATATTCCTATTATATATTTGACTTTTGGATAAAAATACTGTAGGATTCGCCTGTTTTGATTTGATAACTTTGTTGACTAAATTTGACCAGTTTCTATCAAAAATACCCATATTGGTGTGAAGATGTTTTTTTTTTTTCCTTTAAAAAAACATATATAATAATGGCACAATGCAGCTTGATGTCCGTCCCCCCCCCAGAGTCTTCTGGGTCATGGACTATCTAACAGATGACAGTTTGTGACGCTCCAGGACTATGTGTCGGAGATGGCAGTAAAAAGCACTGGGGAACTTCAAGAAACTGTCCTGTCCCCCTTCCTGCTTGTCTTCTACACATCAGACTTCCAGGGGGAGGAAGTGGAGGTGGTGCAGGCCTACATGATTCTGGGGGTCAACCTGAATGGTGGGCTGACAACACAGTACCCTGTACAAAAAAGGAAAGTGCAAACTCTACTTTCTGAGGAAGTTCAGGTCTTCTGACATGTGTGGCAAGCTGCTGTGTATGTTTTATTAGTCCATAGTGACCAGTGTGCTCTTCTATGTCAGGCCTGCTGGGGAAGTGCCATCAATGCAAGTGATGTCAAATGCGTGAACAAACTCATCAGGAAGAACAGCTCTATCACAGAACTGCCCCTGGACCTACTGGAGGCAGTAACAGAGAAGAGAATGTTGCCAAAATTGGACAATATTATGAACAATTATGCCCATCCTCTTCAGGGGATGCTATATTGGAGCACATTTAGCCACTAGCTCATTACACCATGATGTGCTAAAAACGCTACAGGGAATTGTTCCTGCCTATTGCCATCATAAACCATAAGGCCTCCTCACAACATGCCACTCCCCATCCACAGTCGTTACATGCCAGGATCCATATCCTGTCTTACATTATAACACGTTACAATACAATCAGGTGATTTGTCCTAACTGCACATATGATTATACAATTAAACACATTCATTTTATCATCATATGTTTCTGCAAAATTAAGAATTAAACAAAATACCTGCAAAAAAAATACATTTTGCATCATTTTGAAACAGCAAGTCTTTAATTTGTTATATTATTATCTGGTACAAATAAATGTCTCCAAGTATTGAGCAAAATTCCTCTTAAAAATGAATGATTTTCCACCTTTACTGCCATTTCTTTAAATGCATAATTCTAGTCTTTGGTAAAAGTGCTATCCAGCATGCTTTTAAGAAATAATTTGTCCATAGCTCAAGACCTTTGCTGGGATGGTAATGGAAACATTTCCCTTTAAATTGTGTTACAGCTGAAACATCCCTGTGAATGTCACAGTCAAAGCGAAGAGCAGCAGAAACAGTGAGGACAGTTCACCCCCAACGCACATGCACTGTGGGGAAAGCCCAGTGGTCGGGGTGGCCCATGTGAGGCAGGTCGCTGTAAGGGGAAGTGCTCCACTGGAAGGCTGGGAGCTGGTCCCATGTGGGGCCACTTAGAGCCAGCATCTGGAATTCCCTGTACATTGTGAAGGAAGTTACCTGTGGACACAAAGACACAATCAGCAAGTCATCCTCAGGGACATAAAAACACCAAACAGAAGTCATTAGGTGTCACCATCTGGTTGTCACCATCAACATTTGATTCATTTAACAGATTTTCGATGAAGCCGGATCAGACAGTCCCTGGAACAAATGAGGTTAATGGCCTTGCTCAAGGATCCAAAGGTGTCATCACTCTGTTTGACCCTTGGGATCTGAACCTGTGGATCTGAGGTACGGTGTCCTAACCCAAGAAGCCACACACCACTCCCACAGCTGCAGGTGTGTATAAACAGAGCTCAGGAAAGGAAACATGCTGTATCCTGATGTAGACACACATGGATCACTGAACTTAGAGGAGGCTGTGGTAAGCTTAAATAATGGTCTGCTCCAAACAGGTACAGAAATCTTACCTTCATATCTGTGCCCCCATGAGGCCTCTGCTTCAGAGCCCCAAAAGGGTAGGTGCCATTAGATGGGTTAAGGTCAGAGCGGGCTGATATGGCATTCTCTCCATTATTGGTGGGGTCACAACCCTGACATTTAGATAGAGGATCTTCCTTGAAGTTGTTGTACCTGAGTGAACAACATGCAGAAAAGCAGCAGCTGACAATCACTGTAATTAAAATAAGAACAATGACAGAAGAACAATGTAAAAAGGTCCCACGCTTAGTTAAGGGAAAATAAACAGACCTCATGAGAAGAATCATGGAATCCATGTCAGTGATGAGACTTTGGTTCCGCCGGAAGATCTGGGCTCGTGGATTCATGTCAAAGGAGAACCAGTCTCCGTACTTCTCAACTAACTCATTGCAGCCACTAGTATTGAAAACTTCCTGATAATACCTATAAGAAGCAGGATGGCTTTATAGGCTTACTTGCTATATCTTTGTTAACTTCCGCAGCAACTCAACACATCTCAACAAATGTGCATCAGAGCACTTCACATACATTTCTTCCACTTTAATTCAACATTAGATTTCAGTGCTAGCACTGAAACTGCCAAAAAGTGCTGGTAAAGAAACAAGACAGCACTGAGTGCCAGTATTTATATTTGTTACATTATGCATATTTATATACAAAGGGCAAAGAGATACAAATGAAAGGTATATTCAAATTCACCTGGTGTTTCCCAGTGTACATGACACTAAGAAACAGTTTGTATATAAGAGTCTCCATTTATGAATGTCATACCATTTTATGGACAACACTTACGGAATATTGTAACTGGCCCAGTATCCCTTCTGAAATAGCTCCTTGGTTTTGTCCTGAGCTACAATTAAACCTCTGTAACAGAAAAAATACCACAAGATAATTAGCTTGCATATAAATCTTTTCTTAAATTTTGTTCACTTTGCTAATTTCATTATACTTGTATCTTAAATGTAACCAAATCATTCATCCATCCACCATCCACTGCTTATCCGGGTTGCATGGGCAGCAGACTAAGCAGAGATGACCTCTCTCTCCCCGGTCAGTTCCTCCAGCTCCTCCAGAGGAATACCTTGGCACTCATAGGCCAGCCAATAGATATAATCTCTCCAGCATGTCCTTAGTCTGCCCTGGGATCTCCTCCTGGTTGGACATGCCTGCAGCACCTCCCCCCAAGGAGGCATCATGGAGGAATCCTAGACAGATGCTCAGAACACCTCAGCTGGCTCCTTATAATGAAGATGACCTTCTTTGAGCCTGATCTCAGTCTTTTGGTCACTACTCAAAGCTTGTGACCATAGGAATGTAGACTGATCAGGTCTTTTGGCTCAGCTCTCTTCACCACAACAGACCAATACAATGTCCACATAACTGCTGACACTTCACTGATCAATGTCCTGTTCCATTATTCCCACTGTATATACCAATATTCAGTGCAGGTCTAACCTTGATGATAAAAAGTAATTAACAAACTGAGGGTGGGGGATTTGGCAATAGATTGATCATAATGCATTTGGGCAACTTCCCCTTTCTCCCCACTTATGGGTGGCCCTGCCTAATAGTAGTCCATGTCCCGCTCCTTATAATTATAATCCTATATTTAACTTACAAGGTTAAAATCTTTAATATTTTAACGTTAGAATCAATTTGTATAAAGTGAAAACATTAAAATCATAAGAATCCATAGCCTGTCTTTATCTAATGACAAGGGTTATGTTAAGCTGTTTTCAGCTGTTCTGGTTCCTTGTGTTTATGTTGGTTTTTCATCTTTTGTAACATGCCTCTTGGATTATATTATACTGTTTTCTCTATTCCTGTAATTAAAAAACTGATAAATGATGATGTTGCTCCCGTGTTTTTAGTATTAATTTTACTTTTCCTGAAATACTGCTAAATCCACTTTCTGAAATACCCCCGTAGTTATTTAACTTATAATAGATGGATACATCCAAAGTTCTTTTTGACTGAACTAGATATATCATGTATATTTGCCTTTTTCTTTTCTGTTTGCTCAAAAGAAACCCTTGGTGTCATGCTGTTAGTGCTTGTCATTAACTGACATTTTCTTTATGTATGCAAACTTCTTTCAATCTGTTGCAGAAAATTTTAGTGAGAAAGGTTTAGATCAGTCATACATCTGAATATTTCGCAAATTTGTGTTGTTTTTATCAAGTTGCATTGTGTGAAAAGGGCGTTAGTCTGGCCTCATACCTAGTAGCCATTTGGCATGGAAGACCCTACCATGGGCAATTGCCCTGAACAACATAGCTCTTAGAATTTTTGGGAAATGTTACATGCTGACCAATCATGTTGAAGCATACTCGCTGTATTGCTTTGGATTTTGGTGAAGAGACCTTGTGTTTGTGTGTGAGTGTATTGGTGTAGCTGAAGTTAATAAGGTTTGGAGAGAGGCTAGCCATGTGTGCCACGTGTCTATGGTTCCAAGCACGGGCATGGAGAGTTGGGGATTGTCCACAAAGGGAGAGAACCTGTGGGGTGGGCATTGCTTGTCAGGGATAGGCTTCAGTCCCCTCTATGTCCCAAAGGGAGTAGTGGAACTGTGTATGGGTGTTATATTGTCTGTGTTATAAAAGATTGTGTTGTGACCCAGGGTGTTCCTATCCTGGGATGAATGAATAACTGGATCGTATGTGAGACTGTGCGTGTTGTTTAGATTAAATGTTTTATGTGAGTAGAGCTGTGTTAGCTGTTACAGAAGTTTGAAGTAGGTGGTGAAGTGTGATCCCAGTGCAGAATCCAGATTATCATTTAATCTACAGTATCTCACAAAAGTGCCCTCACATTCTTGTAAATATTTTATTATATCTTTTCATGGGACAACACTGAAGATATGACACTTTGAAACAATGTAAAGTAGTTAGTGTACAGCTTGTATAACAGTATAAATCTGCTGTCCCCGCAAAATATCTAAACACACAGCCATTAATGTCTAAACCGCTGGCAACAAAAATGAGTACACCCCTAAATGAAAATGTCCAAATTGTGCCCAAAGTGTCAATATTTTGTGGCCACCATTATTTTCCAGCACTGCCAGCCTTAACTCTCTTGGGCATGGAGTTCGCTAGAGCTTCACAGGTTGCCAGTGGAATCCTCTTCCACTCCACCATAACAACATCACGGAGCTGGTTGATGTTAGAGACCTTGCGCTCCTCCACCTTCCATTAGAGGATGCCCCACAGATGCTCAATAGGGTTTAGGTCTGGAGACCTTTACCCTCAGTTTCTTTAGCAAGGTAGTGTGTCGTCTTGGAGGTGTGTGTGGGGTTGTATAACGTATGAGTGCTGCCAGCCTGTCAGTACTCAGACCATACGCTGCAAATTGCATCAAATTGGTCTGCATGGCTGTCATCACAGAAGGAAGCCTCTTCTAAAGATGATGCACAAGAAAGCCCGCAAACAGATTGCTGAAGACAAGCAGACTAAGGACATGGATTACTGGAACCATGCCCTGTGGTCTGATGAGACCAAGATAAACTTATTTGGTGCAGTTGGTGTCAAGCGTGTGTGACGACAACCAGGTGAAGAGTACAAAGCCAAGTGTGTCTTGCCTACAGTCAAGCATGGTGGTGGGAGTGTCATGGTTTGGGGCTGCATGAGTGCTGCTGACACTGGGGAGCTACAGTTCATTGAGGTAACCATGAATGCCAACATGTACTGTGACTAGAGCTGCCGCGATTAGTCGACGTAGACGCAAAAACAATGTCAACATCAATATCTTTAATCGACGCGTCACTTATTTTTTAAAATCAAGTTGTTTTAATTTCTCAAAATGCGGCAACCATTTTCCGGCTCCGTCCAACTTGAGTATTGTCAGATTTTGCGGTTTTGGATTTTATAATTAGGGAGTGCGAGTACCTGTGGATAATATTTATCTAGGAAGATATTTCTCATTTACGTATGCTACATTAAGTAGCCACAACAGTTTAATACTGTGGCGTCGAGCGGACTGAGGCAGATACTTGCTTACTGGGAATGTCCAGAACATGTGGACATGTTGACATTCTTACACTATAAGACAGAAGTTTGACCATCAGGTGGATACTGTTGTCTCTTGCACTGTAAATGTGTTGCACTTTAACTTTTTTGCTTTGCTAAAGAGTTTTGTGAAATTTTGGATGTTAGTTGGAGTTGCGCTGCTGATGTTAAAATACTTGTTTATTTGTTGTTTGTATTTCTTGCTGGAGTTGTCCGTTTTACAAACAGACAAACAGTTGTCAGTCTGTTTTTCTTAGAGAACTTAAATTCCAGTACTTGACCACAGTATACTCTAAACATGCTGCCCTGTTTAATGTTAAAACCCAACAGTTATACTTTGAAAAGGGATATAAAAGAAACATCTTTTTTTTCTAGTTAGAGATGCACTCCTTGCTGAAATGAGCCCTCTTTGTTTGTTTGCAGCTATTGATGTTCAAAATATGCTGAATATAGAGTCGAGGACTTTTTCAAAAATTATTTTTAAGGGCTTTTACAGAAAGTTTAACCTGCACAATACTGTGAAAGATAATAAGACTTTTGTTAATTTTTTTTGTGATACTGGAGTACACAGTGCAATTGTTAAAATAAAGAGAATTTAAATAAAATTGTTGATGTTTTTTATTTTTGGAGAAAAAAAACAATCGTTTAGACTAATCGATTAATCGATAAATTAGTCGATAGATTAATCGAAATAAAAATAGTTGATAGTGGCAGCTCTAACTGTGACATACTGAAGCAGAGCATAATCCCCTCCCTTCGGAAACTGGGCCACAGGACAGTATTCCAACATGATAACGACCCCACACACACCTCCAAGATGACCACTGCCTTGCTAAAGAAACTGAGGGTAAAGGTCTCCAGACCTAAACCCTATTGAGCATCTGTGGGGCATCCTGAAATGGAAGGTGAAGGAGTGCAAGGTCTCTAACATCATCCAGTTCTGTGATGTCATCATGGAGGAGTAGAAGAGGATTCCACTGGCAACCTGTGAAGCTCTAGTGAACTCCATGCCCAAGAGAGTTAAGGCCGGAAGACAGCAAATTTACACTGTTATACAAGCTGTACACTGACTACTTTACATTGTATCAAAGTGTCAAATCTTCTGTGTTGTCTCATGAAAAGATATAATAAAATATTTACAAGAATGTGAGAGGTGTACTTACTTTTGTGGGATACTGCACATTGGGTGTAAATTATATCTGGGTGCCTTTGCGGTGATGTGAAGTGGCTTTATTTTTTATATGGTATTGGCCCTTAACAAGTTTTGCTCTCTGTACTATTTATAATAGCTTTGAGGATAATATACTGTGGTTAAGGGAAATAAGAAAACAAAGTGTATTTAGGATTAAGCCCCCTGAACAGTGGTTTCATAAGTTCTGTGTGCAGCGCTTATTACTATATAGGTCAATTGTGATTATCCTAACCTTGTAGTTTTTCATTTCTGTCCATTTTATTTCAAAGTAAACAATAACAAACCAAAAAGAATTGTGAAGACCCTATATGAAACATTCAAGATGAGTGTGTTGCTATTTGTGTGGACAAAAATATCAAAAAAGGCAAGGTCTGACTCACGGAATCTGTTCCAAAACTGTGAAGAGCTGGCTATCAGCAACTGCTTGTCCTGGTTTAAAGAACTTATAATCAACAATCATCCATTGATTATTGTACCTTAAGGATCAACAAGACATAGTATCAACTTATTATCAATAATCAGCAAAGTAGTAACAAAACATGAATTCCATAATGACGCTTAAAGAAAATTTAGGACACAGATTTTTCTGGTAGTACATACAACATAACCAAAGTTAATCAGTTTAAAAAAAAAAATCTAATCTGTTTTTCAGTGCAGCTATCAAAGATCCCTGATGTCAGCTATACCAGCTCAACATCTCATTACAGCATCACTGTCTGCTGACTGAGCACACAAATGACCTACAGGACAGAAGCAACACTGACTTACGTCCCACTGTTGTATTTGCCGAAAATATCTGCCCACTGTTTCCCGCTCTCTGAAAGCTTATTGGCCACAACATTCCTTAGCCACTCCATAACTGTTTCCTTTGGGGTCACAAACTTCCATAAGGCAGGGTTATTGTTGCCTATGGTGGTCTCTAGGGTAACCTGACATTTAAAAACACAGCAAAAAATAAAAATTAAAAAAATAAATCAGTGCTCAAGGTACACTATCACATTTCTTTTGTTTCATTCTCTGCAGGCAAATGCCTAATAATCACAGAGGCACTGGAGTGTTCGTCTTTTAAACCTAGTGTGTGAAATTCTCAACATTGTATGTCTCATAAGATACGTCATACTGAACTCTCACCAAACCACTACTAAGGATGTAGAAATCATCCCCTGAGAAGATAGTGCCTGGATATGATGAAAAAACCTGGGTCCCTCCAGGAATAGGCACAACATCTAGAAAAAAAAAGGACATACCAGAACACGTACACAGAGCCTGTTTTTGAAAAACAGTTAACCCTCTCAAGGCAGGCGTTGCTGTTAAAAACTAACTACCTTTTACCCCACATACATATTTTATGAGTTTTTTTTACTCAGAAGTACCACTGCAGGACTTGGTTGTCCTGTCGTTACTAAAACTTAATTTGAGCCTGAAAGGGTTAATAGTTAACTAAACAAACACTAATCAGGTGCTTGTCACAAGAAAGACCAAGGTGGTGGTGATTACCTTCAGGGGAAGTCCTGTATGCAAAAGAATATTTCTTTATGATCCTGAGCATACTCTGATAGTTGTTCCAGGTATCATGGGAAACTAGCAGATCTTTGTTACCAGGCAGCAACTTAACAAGGGCAGAACATGAGCCCGAACCCAGTGTTCTGGACAGTGTGGTTTTGTTGAATGCCGCTTCCAAGTCCTCCAAGTCTCCACCCATCTGGAACAAGCTGGCAATGAAGGAAAAGCCAATATGAAATAGCAAAATACTACTGCAGTCTCAAACAGTTTTTGTATGGCAGAAAATTAAAGTGGTAACTTACAGAAAGCCAAGAGGATTAATGGAGAACTGGCCACTTGGGAAGTTGACCTGATCATTGTAGCCATCCTCCAAGCCTTTGAGTTGCATCAGGGCAAGCCGGATCTGCGGGAGGGTTCCAATGACAGAGGAAATTTCCCCAAAACATCCAAATTTGAGAACAGACTAGAGGTGTAACAGTACACAAAATTCAAAGCCCAGTATAAACCTCAGTTTTGGGTTTAAAGTTTGATGCAATTCAGGGAAAACCTAAGTTCTTCTGAAATTATTTTTTATTAAAACTGCAGACAAAAACACATAGGAAAAGTAAACCAAAGGCAGTATTTGTTGTTTTGGTGGGGTCGAAAATGACAGAACTGTATTCCCAGGACAGTCCCATCATCTGGGCTGCCCATCTAATCCGTACTCATCCCACACTCACAAACTTGTACAACTTCTAAAAGTACTCGATGGATCACCTGGAAATGTGAAAGTTAATAAATGCTTTCACATGAAAGCTCCAATTTTGCTGCCCTCTGTCATTGCAGTTACAATTTTGAGGTGATGCTGAATCTGATCAAGTGTACATTTACACACCAAAAGTGTCTGAGGCAATGAACAGGTACTAAAATCATATGTATTCCCTGAAGTCCAAGGGGTACAATGACAAAACATACAAAATGCTTATTTGCACACTGCATAAATAAGTATGCAAAATAAATTTAAAAAATCAAAAATACAAAATCATTACAATCACAATTAACTAAATTTTGTCTAAATCCCATGTTTGATACTACAGTTTGGTTGCATATCTGTAGCACAAAACACCCCAACACTCGTAATCATTTTGTTTGCCCAGTCTGATTAACCTGGCAAGTGGTAACTAACTTGAAGAGGCTGTCTCAGCCTTGTTCTGGTCATATACACGTCAGATGATGTCATCTCAAATAAGCTAGCATGTTAGCTGTGTTTCCAGCAACATATCCAAGTCTGGCATAACAGAGCTGACTAACAGTCTTGCTCTTATCAATCACTCTGTCTCCAGTTTCTGTGTAATTAATTGTGAAGTTAAAATATTCCCAAACTGCTAATTATGACTGTACTTTAACCAGAATTAGCCATAACCAATTCACAGCCACATTTAGCATATCTGTAACCTGTGATCTGTAACAAACTGAAATCATGCAAATGGTACATGATGAATGTGTGTTTCATTACAGCCCTAGAACAGACCGAATAGCAAAACTGAATAATTAATGAACAAATTATACACTTAGTTATTAAGCCATATATTGCAAGCTGACAAGTGCTAGCTCTATGTTTCAGAAGAGAAATCTCTGCCAAAAGTGGGATAAGAACTATACAAACGAGAGGAGGCCATTCGGCCCATCGAGCTCGCTCGGGGAGAACATAACTAATAGCTCAGAGTTGTTAAAATCTTATCTAGCTCTGATTTAAAGGAACCCAAGGATTCAGCTTGCACTACGTTATCAGGAAGACTATTCC